AAGTCTTTACAAGGTCGTCGCAAAAAAGCGGGTGATTGTACACATCAGCGCTGCTGTTCGAAGCGATGCAACGCGATCGAGTCCTTCGCTTGGCGGTGCAAAGGCAGCTACTGTTATAAAAGCCGACAAGAAACGTCGTCAGCACACGCAAAATATAGAGCTCGGCGAATCTACGCCGCCGGTTGCGATACTTTTATACGGCCATACGTTCGTTCTGCCCTTCGTAACGAACTCGTATACACACGGGAAGTTCGGCCGCGCTCGGCGATCAAGGTTTTGTCGGCCGAAGCGAGCCTCAGCCAACGTGCACCCCGATTTAGCTACGCAAACAAAAAATTAATCGGTATCATGCCCTGCGTAAGTGTCCAACCCGCTTCGAAAGTCGCGGTCATACCCTGCCTTGCTCTGTTGAGCGCGGGCAGGACTATCGTCAATATTACCGAGTTGCCGTGCAACGGCGATCAAGACACGGCGTCAAATGAACGTTTACGTTGTTTATTAGCATATTCAAACCAAACAAAATACGGTTCAATACATTTTCCGAAAGAGCCTTACCTCAAAAAGAAATTCGAACGTGTTATTCGTCTTACCTTGAGCACTTTTCATTAACAAAAGCGAACAAACCGCGCACCCGCGACAGAACCGAAGCAGCTTATCCCACCATATTGTTTGTTGTTTCCTCTCAGCTATTTTGAAGAGGAAATACAACTTACAAACTGGAGCGCGGTTCTTTCCTGTGACTCAGCTGACCAGGCATATGATCTCTTTCTTGAAACTTTTACAAATATCTATAACCGGTGCTTTCCCTACAAGAAGTGTCGAGTGCATAAGAAATCACGCAAGCCGTGGATTACTTCGGAGATAATTAGAATGATGAATGGAAAGAATGCGCTCTATAATAAATTTCTGCACACTAGAGATTTGGGCGTCCTCCGCGAATTTAAAATTCAAAGGAACATGGTGACAAGCGCTCTTCGCAAATCAAAGCCTACATACCATTACGATATGTTTCAGGGTGAACCTAGAACGGATGTCATGTGGAAAAAAGTGAACATGTTGGTAAAACCTCACTCTCGTAGTGACTCAATTAACACGATCACTGTAAATGGGGAGAGCATAACTGGCGCCGCGTTGGCTGACAGGTTCAATAATCATTTTGTGGACTTAGTTGATAGCGTTCACTCCGTCAATGCTTGTGACCTAGTCGATAAAATTTTGGAGAGTGTTTTCTTTCTGCCTACTGACGGCAGTGAATTGACATCAGTATATAACAATATTAGAAACAGTAAAAGTAACGACCTGCATGGCATTCAGATCGGGCCTGTAAAGCGTGTAATTCATTCTATCGTCCCTTGTTTGACCCACATTTATAACCTCGCCCTTCAGGATGGGGTGTTTCCTAAAAAAATGCAAGTGGCCAAGGTGTCCGTCCTCCACAAGGCAGGGGATAAGAACAACGTGGGTAATTACAGGCCTGTGTCTGTATTGCCGGTATTCTCCAAAGGACTAGAAAAAAAAATTATGCACATGAGGCTATATTCTTTCTGTGAAAAACACTGAATTATCACCCCTTGTCAATTCGGTTTCCTAAAGGGATACTCGACAGAGTTGGCGCTACTAAAACAGAAAGAAATGATACTTACAAACATCGAAAACAAACTGCTAACATTGGGCATATAGATCGATTTTTCGAAGGCATTTGATCGCCTTAATCATAAAACTTTGCTGCAGAAACTGAACCTTTGTGGCATCAGGGGTGTTGTCCTGAACCTAATCGAGAGCTATTTGCAAGACCGTTATCAGTACGTTGAAATTGACGGGGAGCGTTCAAACATGCGCCAAATAAAGGCAGGTGTACCGCAAGGGAGTATTCTCGGGCCCCTTCTCTTCAATCTTTTTATAAATGACATAGTGAACTTAGATAATAGCGTCAACTACATAATATACGCAGATGATACAAGTGTGTTTTTCTTTGGAACTAGCATTGACGTCATTATAAGAAAAGCAAATCAATTCTTGCAGAGTCTAAACGTTTGGACCACCGCAAATTCCTTAACAATAAATGTTGCAAAAACTAAGGCAATTATTTTCCGCGCAAAAAATACAAGCTGCGCCAGCAGCCTGCCGGGAGGGCTCTCTTTTGCCTCACGAGATGTGGAAATTGTAAAAAATGCTAAGGTGCTTGGCGTAACTTTTAATGAACATATGCTATGGGATGAGACGGTGCAGGACACAACCATAAAGCTCTCAAAGGTTTTAGGCGTTTTATACAAATACCGTAATATCTTACCCCCCTCGATAATGCTGCTTATATATCACGCCCTGCTCGTATTTCGATTATTGTTTCCTGGTTTGGGGTACCTCTACAAAAACGAACGTTCAGAGACTTTTTATAATGCAAAAGAGGGCAATACGAATAATATGTAATGTAGCGTATGATCACTCCATGAAATCTTTGTTTAAGAAGTTTGACACCTTAAAAATCACCAATTACTATAGTTACAAGCTTTTGATGTCATATAAAAGATCATTAAACAACCCTGTTAGCGTTTTTAATTCAGTCTCAGGTTTGGAGTCGCGGGACGCAACATACAGCACTCGTCATTCTCGACACTGGGCCGCACCGTGCTCCAGAACCAATTATGGTGACAAGAGACTGGCTTTTACTCTCCCAAGAATTTTAAACGACCTTGAAGCAAAGGGAATTTCCGTGGCCAATTTAAGCAAAAAGGAAATTCGTGACCTATTTGAGTGATCTATTGAATAGGTGTTGTCATGTTTTGAAGGTGCAGAGGCAGTTGCGTGTATATTTTTCAAAGTCAATGTGCGTTGTAGTGCATGTGCTCATTACTAAACGCTTGGAGCAAGCGTGTGCAACTCTGAATTATCTTTACCTTATTTAACCCTTCGCACTATATATAATTGACACCACTTTCCTGTGTAAGCGCTCGATTATCTGTTTTTATATATTTTACATTGTTCTTTCACTCATATGTTGTGTTTCTTCTGCGGATGTAAAGGGGAGGCGGGGGCTTCGTCAAGTAGCCCCTTAGCGAAAACTAATACGTTTGAAATATACCACGTTCTAATTTGAGTGTATTTGAAATACAATTCATAATTGTAAGTACACGAAAAATATACCGAAAATATAAACTTCTTTTTTTGTTACTTAGTACTACAATATACTTCTAAAAATCATTTTAAAACACCTTTACTTAAACTACATTCGAAGTTCCCTTCATGCGTTTTGAAATATGTAAATACTAAATTAATAGGCACAAAATACCTTCCACATATATTTCTTGAAATATTTATTTAATTCATGCAAAATATACTCCAACCCTAAAAAAATGGTGCAATCAAGAATACGTGCAGAATACTCTTAAATTACCTGAAAATCGTAAATACTGTTGTGTTATACTCTAAGTACCTTTTGGCTGCAATACTTTGGTAGTTTGACTTAAACTACCAAAATATTTAAAAGCTCCCCTTCTGAAGTTCACTTCAAGCAGATATGGAGTACACTGAAGCGCCTAAATACATTTGATTAGTTTGGCAATTGAATTGCGTAGCATCGCACTGATAAATCAGCCCAGTTTATGTTATTGTTTCCTTTTTTCTATCAAGAACACGCCTGATCAGTTCCTTGCACACCAATCACAAACGGGGTTCGGGAACTACAGCCACAACATTTGCTGATGCTGGAAAGCTTCAGCAGGTGCTGTGAACAGATACGTTTGGCGTGGTTTTGTTAGCACAATGTTAGTTCACTGAACGTGTATACTCACCATTGTACGTGATGTGAATAGTGACTTTAATACAGTGACATTAACTACCATATTAAATAGTCCACTACTAAAAAGGAAAGGCAAAACAACTACTGTAAAATATTTATTTTTCGCGTGCTCAATATTTCGCGATTTAGGTCAAAGTTGGAGTTTTGGAATAATTCGCAAATTCTAACTTTCGCGACGCGCTGGGATCGCAATATAGATTTTAATGTTTTTACATTTTGCCGGAATTGTTCACGGGACCTATTTTTCGGAATTGTAGGCGATTCGCCCACTTTGTGAGAATTAGGTCCTCACAAAAATAAAGTCGTTTACAGTATTTTAAAGTGAAGAAACTGCCTTGATTCGCTTCGCCCTGAGTGGTGCTACGCAGAGAAGCAATAACATGTATTTTATGAGCCGTTTGTGTGGATATTGTTTTAGGGACTGTGCCGAATTGTTATTAGTTGTACCAATGCCTTTTAGTAAGAGATATCGTCCACGAACTTCAAAACACTGTTTCCCCTTCGACAGACTACCGAGGAGAAAATCGAATACTTGTAACCTTAATAAGCGCAGAGGTGGTCACCGAAAAAATTATTACCTTCAATATGTAGGCTATATAAGGCTCTAGAGCAGTCAACGGGACTGTGAATGAGCTCTTCAGTGCGTCATGGTGTTTGTGTTTGTGTTCGTTTCTAATGTGGCTGTGTGGGATGTATTTAGTAGTGCCTTCAAATACCACAGGGACACCATTTGCTGACAAAATCGAAAATAAAAAAAAATTGTGTGATCGGTTTTTAATCCACAAATGGCATCTTGAGTGTGAAGGAATAATATTTTTGGTATATCTAAAATATTTTTTGATTCATATTTATAATGTATTTTGAATACATTACGCGCGTATTTCGAATGCGGCCAAAATAATACAGAATAAATACAAAATGAATATTCGTACTAAATATATTTCAACTTCGTTTGAAGTACGGCCTCTTTTTGCTAAGGGGCGACATGCTGCTTTTTTCCCTGTCTTCGCCTTTCAGATGGAGAGGAAATAAAGTGATTGATTGATTGATATCTTTGGAAGGCAGACCTAGTTGGCGAATGCTCGTGCTGCGCGTGTTTTAAACCTCTACGAGTGCAGACATCGCTTCCCCAATAAGCGCGCGTTGCTCTAAAAAGGAACCACCGAGTTTCCCGATTTTCTCAGATGGGATGGAAGTGAAGTACCTTGGGATGTTTGGCGTCTCCAGTGGCCCGTGCCAGGACCGCGAACCTTTTGTGGGGAGTGCAGTCTTTGGCGACCACCTTGAAGCAGTCGGTTTCGGGAAGGTTGACCACAACGTCGTCGAAGGTCGTGACACCCTTGCCTTGCAGGCCGCAATACCCTTCGGGTATCAGAACAAAGTTACTCTTGTAGTTGGGTCGTCAGAGATATATTACGCAAATAACTGGTGTTTCATGCTTTCAAAATGATCTTTATAAGGACTGCAAGAAGCGAAAGCAAGCAGGTGACGTCGTGCAATAGGAGATGTTACTTAAGGCCTAATGCAGCTATTCCGATATACTATACAATCCCCGACATCTTAAAGGACCCATGAAACAAATTTTGGGTTGGGATAAATCATTTTAGATTGGGATTTTACTAACAGGACATCGTTCAGTGGGCCAAAAGAAAAAAGGTAGAAAGTCAAAATCTTGACTTTCAGTGCGAAATTTTGAAAACACAGCGGACCATTTCGTACCTCCTCCACTTCGCAAGCTCTCTGCCTTTTCACTGCGATACATCCGCGGTCCCAAAAGCGCGTCACCGGGTCCAAACGCACGTCACACAAAACCGGACCTCACTTATTCCCTTCACCCCTAAGCTGACATTGTGGTGGAAGCTACGCGCTTGCCGGACCAATCAGCCGCCTCCCTTTGATCACCTGACCTCATTTTCTGTGCGTGGGTATGCGCGAAGGATCGTGATCACGTGGCACGTCTGGCTGGCCCAATGAGCACGTAGCTTCCCCAGCACTGTCAGCTTCGGGGTGAACGGGTTGGGGAAAGGAACTTTTGTCTGAATTTTGAGCGACGGGCTAATCTTCTAGGGGGAGAATGGATGCGTCCGGGATTACACAAACGAGAGTGCGAGCAAGAGGTGACTCCCCCTTTCCGTCTTTTTGAACTGTTTGGTAAAATGCGCGATTTATGAGTTGAAGAGGAAAGTTAAACAAGAAAAAGTCGGAAAAGCGTTTCATGACCCCTTTAAGAAACGAGGGGCGTGACTTATTATGGTCCCGCTTCGTGATTGGTTCTTAGGCTTATTAAACGCTAATGCCGCAGTGTCACTGGCTGCTGACCGATAACGAGATGCGTGGGACTCGCCACGCAGTGCGTTTCTTAAGTTGTCAGTTAGAATATAAATTTCAGGTATCATCTATGTGAGCGGCGAAAAAGAAAAAAAAAGGAATGGCTGTCTCTTTCGCATTTCCTATATGCAGCGACTTAATAGGGTTCCTTCACGCTCCTCCCTTTGCGAGCACAGTAAGGGCGCAGTAACAGTATCAGGTGACGTTATGACGTCACGTCATGGTGGCACCAGACATCACGCGAACACGTAACATCAAGTCACATAGTGTGACTCTATGGCGTCATAGTGGCACGTGACCTTATGGTGTCATGTGACGCCGAGTGACGTCACTGTCTCACGTGGCAAGACGTCACAATGTCGAGTCACCGTTTCATCCACATGACGTCCCGTGACGTCGCGATGTCACGTGACGTCACGGTGGCAGGGATGTAACAGAGGACGCAACGTATTTAGAGCGCCTTTGGGGGTGACGCCACTTTGTCTCCTGACACTTTGACTTCCTCAGGCTACATCCAAGGACACACATACCCTAATTGCTGCAGCCCTTTAACTGCAACGCATTTAATAATATGTTACCCGGTTATTTTGAATATGGTTGCGTCGAAAGAGAGAGCAAGGAAAACAACCGCGATAGACGTTTGGTTATAACGTTTCTTTTGTAGCGAGTACATATCAAGCTGAACCATTAGCCACGTTCCAAGTAATCCTGAAGTACACTCTGTTTGATAGTGGAGAGTTTTAGCGAATCCTTTTTGCATATCCCTTGCGGTACGATATGCCGTCCGGTACGCACTGCGCATGCGCTACAGCAGAAGGCTCGCAGACGCGCTTTTCGTAACGCAGGGCACATCGTGCGGTATCGAATGTGCGATAACGGTTCCCTAAAACTCTCTAATAGTGAACCCCACAAAGATCCCGAGCGCCTTGACGATCCACTTTTGGCACTGCTTGATTGACTGCATAGGATCGTAGCGTTGACTGCGATCGGTCTTTACGTGAGAAAGAGGAGCGAAAGTTCGTCTGCTTCTGTAGCAGGGGTTGTGGCTACGTCACAACGCCAATCTCCGATTGGCTCTGATTGAAGAATAGTGGGTAGACCTCAAAGCGAGCTGCCTTGAGGTCTACCCACTATTCTTCGATCAGAACAAATCAGAGGTCGGCGTTTTGACGTGACCACAATCGCTGCAAAAGGGGACAGACGAACTTGCGCTCCGCATAGACTATGTGAGCACTAAGTCATGTGTGGAAGGCGTGGAGAACGTCTTCTCAGTAGAACATCATGAAAATATTTCATGATGGGGCTTGGCATGTGCATGCCTTCGTTTTGATCAACTGCTAGGAATACCAACATGAATTTATTTATCTGTTTTATCCTAGCTCCGAAGCATTAAGAAAGAGAATGGAAACGGAATTCAAACGTAACAAAAACTGTTAATACGGCTCAAATATATAAATAATAACTTGTTAGTGTTAGCTTAAAACCGGTAAAATCAGTGATGGTTTCAATGGATGGGGGAAGGCAGTTCCATTCACGGCACGTTGTAGGGATGAAAGAGCTGAAAAACAAATTTGATTGACATTGGTTGTGCCAACAACTCTGCAGATGTGGTCGAGGCGAAAGGAAACGTAGATTGGTTCACTTATTAGTTTTTTTTTAAAGTTATGATTACCATAATAAACTTTATGAAATAAACACAAACGAGAAATCGTGCTACGAATTGAAAGAGGAGTCAGTGAAACACTGTATTTCATTCATGTTACACTTTATGTATGATGATAGATTGATAATATAAATCAAGCGGAGTAGTTTCGTACGGCTTCAAGTGAAGATATACAACTTTATGTATCAGTGTCTCAGACATAACTTGCATATCCCAGTTTTGCTTGAACTAATGTTTTATAAATAATCACTTTTAATGAAGACGGAACCCGTCAAAAGTTACGTGTCAGGTAGCCAAGCGTCAGGTCTGCGCTGTTATTAACATAATGGTCATGATGATAATAGCATACTCCCCCATTGGAAGCATTTGAGTTTCCGATTCTTTCTGGATCTGATACCGCCATTAACCGAACAAGGATGTGGATGACCAACCGTCTTAACAAGACTACATAAGAAAAAAAGAAAAAAAGAAACTTACTTGGTTTGTAGTAGGAGATGTAGTTAGCCATGTTCGAGTATCCCAGGAGGGAGAAAACCCTAGGCGCGAGCAAGTGGCTGTAGATTGGCACGTGCTCGTGATGGAAGGAGTGACCGTCCTCGGTTGTCACAACGATGTCCGAGTACTCCTCAACCGGAGGCACTTGGGAGACGACGTGGAGCTTCCCGTTGGGTCCGTGGATGTGTGATGCGAGGGTGCCGAGGAAACTTCCATGCGGGTCGGTCGTCATCTGGTGTCCCAGCAGCGTGGGGAAAAGCTGCAAGAGACGTGCTTCACATTGAAAGAAGAAACTGTCAGGTACGCACAACGCAAGCCCGTACGATGGCACAACGAAGAATGCGCCCGCACTCGGGCGTGCCATACTTGTCCGATCGACCCAGCCCAGCACGCGCGTGTTCCTTGATGCAAGTTCGTCTGTTCCTTGCGAACCTCATCTGTCCAGTCTGCCTTGGCTGCCTCGTCATTGAGCGTTTCCTGCTGGTTCTTTAAAGGGATACTACAACGAAATTTCGGCGCTCATTTTTTGGTCTATATGTGTTCCAGGGAGCAGCATCACATTGAACATACCAATATCTTGTTAAAAAAGTCACGAAAAGGAATTTTAAAACGAATTAAACGATTAGCAAAGAGCACCTGGTGGATGTCGCTAACGCCTCGTTTGTAATGCCCGTCTAGGAACCTTGACAGCTAGTGACGGAGGTTGTCTCGCCTCCGGCCACGACGAGAGAAGAGGGGCAGGAGGAACTCCCCTCTTCCCGAGAATGCCTTTTGTGTGTCGCAGAAGTCGCTATTGTCCCCCTACAAGATTACAGAAGATTAACCCGTCACTCAAAATTCCTACAAAAGCAGCCGCTTCAGTGTCTGGAACAACTAGGCCATCCTCTCGACGTCAGCCTCGCCGTAGCTTTGCTCGTCCTGAGACGACCTACATCATGATTGCGTTGGATGTCACGTGGTCTCCGCTGGGCCTCCTCCGAGCGCTTGCCAGAGTGCGCCGTTTATAACAAAAAATACAGCCACCAGGCTCAAAATACAAACGTGCGATTGTCATTTACGGATATTGTGGATCATATTCAACCTATTTTTGAACACGACGGGAATATTTCAAATTTCGTTGAAGTATCCCTTTAAGCTGCCCTTTGATTGGCCTGGCCCTCCTCGCGTTCCGATGCGCCAAAGATGAATTTTAGAACACTTGCTCGCCGTTCGTCACTGACGGCTTAAAGGGGTGGTGCAATGATTTTCGGACTTCGGTCAAAGATTTCTAGAAGTTGCCCCCTGATACTTCTGAAGTAAAGAACAAAAAACCGATTTCGCCTGCGTGTCCTAGTTGTTGCGTAAAAAAAAGATAAAGATTGGCATTTCGGGCACCCCTCAACTCACTTCCAGTCTTCAGGGTCACACCTGGCCGCACTCCCAGTGACGTCATTCGGTGTGCCGTGTAGCTTCCCGTGTGCTATCTAGGAGGACGCTTCCCCTCCCTCTCTCTGCGTACATTAGTGGGCGCTATGCTGCAGCTTAGAGCCGAGCGAGGTCACGTAATCTTTCCGCCGTAGTTCCTTCGGCTGCCACCTGGGGCTGCAGGTGGGGGAAAAACCTCGACTTTTCCCTTGCGATTATGCAGCGGAATCGCGACATTTTTAATGAAGGAAGTGTTTTCTCTATCCTCTGGGACACGATAAACAATGTAAAAATGACGAGATGCAAATTTTTTTAATCATAAAATCTTTGCACCGCCCCTTTAAGAAAGGCAGGGCGTGGAAAAGTCACCTGCATTTCATTATCGATCCGGAGAAAATGAGATTACTGCCTTTGCAGATAAGAACGCCGAAGACCCTATCATGAAGCGAGGAGCGTTCACATTATAGGCCATGACCAAAGGCTCGTTCGCACACTTGCAACCGAGTAGGATGGAGAGAGACAAGACTGGTTTTTAAGCCTCTTACGACGTCTTAGGACCATCTCCGCAGCAGCGCATCCAGTCCTAAGACGTCGCAAGAGGCTTAAAAACCGGTCTTGTCTCTCTCGGTCGTTCTCGGTTACAAGTGTCTGAACGGGCCTTAACGTTTCTTAAGCTGTCAATGCGTACCCGTCGCGGGCAAGAACTCACAAAATGGCGGATGCCAGAAACCCTTTTTTGGAAGGGTCTGTACCAGGTCACCTTACTCTGGCTACGTAGTCTTAGCAATAGACGCCTGTGCGTTCGCGCAGCTTGGAAGCCGATCAAAGGTATGTACGCGCGCTGACCGCTCTTTCTCAAATACCGCAGAATTATTTTCACGCCTAGAAATTAATCTGAATGGCTGTCTTCGAAGCTTTGTGCAAACGTTTACAGATTCCTTGCTTACAGATTCAAATATTGACAAATTGCGGCAACAGCTTATTCATTCTGTCGACCTTCATCTATATGGTCTATGTGAATATACAGTTTTTTGATCAGTCATTTCCCGTGTTTCTGGTTAGCTTAGACACTAAACGCCTCAGCTTTTTTTTCCCCTCTTTTTTTTTTTTTTTGGGGGGGGGGGGCGCTTAATATTTATGCATTTAGCCAAACTTGTATCCGAAAACACAGAGGACGAACTCCAGGGAGTGGACAAACACAAGTGCAACAAGCGTACGTGCTCGTCTTTGCCCGCTTCTTCGTGTTGGTCCTATGTGTTTACGCGTGCTAGATTACTCAGTGCAACGAACCAACTAGCCCAACGAGAAATCTTGCTAAACCATTCGTTGAGTCCTGCCTATTGAAACATAAAAAAATTTAGCGTGAACAAAAAAGATAATTCAAGGGTCACCCTTTTTTTTAGATCAATATGAAACACCAGTTTACGAATAGAATAGTGAAAAAAAAATGTTCATGGAGAAAGGACACCATTTATTTTCTTTGTTCAATTAGATTGCTTCCACTTAGCGCTGAAAAAATAGGCGCAAAGAGAGCTCTGCAGACAATGCACCCACTTTGCATTTCAAGCCGGGTCTGGCTTGGGTGAATGCTGGTTCCCACACTTGTGACTTCTTACGACCGTGTGCCTTAAAACCATTTGCAATATCTTACAACGAGATAACAGACTGGCGCCATCTATCGGGTAACCGCCAAATACTTGCAGTATTCATTCAATTTTCTTTTGCGCATCATTCTATCTGGGTTTAAAAGAACTTTTGAAAATATTATATACGACAATTTGTTATACAATGTTCGTGAAATTGAACTCGCAAACACCGCAAAAATGCAGTTCCAGGGCCACCTCGTAGTTGGCGCCAGCGTGATCTCTCGTCGTGAGAGGTCACAAATGGCTCTGTTCTAAGCAAACGCAAGTGCGTGAACGGTTTTTTTATAGTTTCAGGAAAGCTGCTATACGTCTTACGTGATCTAGGAGTCTATGACTCAGTTAAATGTCTATCGCCAGAAATAATATGATATATACGCAATACATATGTAGCATATTTACGACAAGTTCCCCTTTTCCCTCTTTTGGAACGCAAAGATTTTTATCAATTTCTGTAGCATACGTTCAAGGTGCCCGGAATACATCCAGCATCCGGATTTAGTACAAGTAGAAAAAAGCAAGTACCCACTCACCGGTTTGAGGATTTTGTACTCGACCTCCGTTGCGAATTTACCGAGGCGGCTGCTGTGGTACATGTACTTCATGCAGAAGTTTAGGGGAACGCCCCGCCGTTGGTCCTCTGTGCATTTCGTGAATAACCGTCGCAGTTTGTACATCTTCAGTCGGTTGTTTCCCAGTGGTTGGCCTTCGGCGTTCTCGCGAATCTGCTTCGCCTCGTCGTCCGTGTGCGTATGTTTGCTTTTAAAAATAATCTGTCATGAAAGCAAAAAGAACAAAACAGCCAAAAATGCGGTTTAACGAGGTTTTTCTAAGAAACGTCGCATTTCCCAGGACGTGGCGAATAAAATCGGGCACTACCAATCAGGGATATTTTCAATATACAAGTAAAGACGTATCTTAAGCGTTAGGAAACAGCTAGAATTCTTTGAGCACTTGGTGCATTAAAATAAACTTTTTTTTTTCTGAAAAGCATTCTGCGCATGCGCAGGCCCTCCTCAGGTCACGGCGAAAGCTCGAACTACGGTTGTCGTCCTGAAGTGGAATTGCACTACCTCCTTTGCCTTTTCCGCCACGCATTTTAGTGTGGAGGAGGAAGGAGAGGTAGGGTAACTCCCCTTACAGGGAATGCATCGAGCTTTCGCCACTTGGTGTCGCCCTTGTATGGGGCTCATACTGCCTGCGGTACGACTTCTCGTGGCGGGAAGCTAATAAAAGAAAGATAAACGGTACGAGCACTCCAAAGGCTGGAGGCTGCTTACACGGGGTCCTCAAGCCGACGCCGTAGGCATTTATTTGTATACAATGCCGTTTCAACTTAGGGTGGCGGGACATATTTTTGGAAAGGCGCCCGCTACCCCTTGTCGCCCCTTGGCGCCATCTTTACTTTTCGAGTTGAACGCGGCTATTGACGGCAGAGCTTTCGCGCGGCTTTGCGGGAGCGAATATGCGTGTGTCGAACGGAACAGAGGCGGGACTTGCTGGTTTGCAACTACGGCTTCGAATTCCCTACCTAGGGACTTGGGGAAAACGAGCCCTTCCAAAGATGCGACTATTCGCGACTCGAGCGACCTATAGGGGGCGCCACCACCAAACAAACATGGCGGCTGAGTCCAGGTCGCGTCGGCTCGGCCGCGCCGCCTGAATGGGTGGCGCATTCAATTTAACAAATTTTCTTTTGCTGAATGCCCAATTTTATGGGTATTTGAACTGAGACGGTTAAGTGTAGCCGGTGCACATAAACTTGCCTAGCATAGTTTTGTTTTGCCGGGGTTTTTTGTTCTTTTCATGTCAAACTTTCGTTTCGGAGACTTCGATGAAAACCGAAACTATGGGCTCCGGAAAAACGGTAATAGACTCTAATTAGTTTTGATCATCTAAGGAAAGCGGCGATGGCTACAGAATTGTTCCACCGAGAGTAATTTTTAGCTAACTCGCATGCCCGAGAAATCGAGCTTTTGTGCTTATCCGCGTTTAAGAAACAGCTCCAGTCGCCTGCTCGGTCAACAACACAGGCTGCAGGAAAATTACGAAAATTAAGCACGCTCTTCCTGAGCCAAGGAGCATGTTAACCCGCTGGCGCTTCACTAAGCAGCTGATACTCGTATTTCAATTCAGGTTTAGTAGCAATCTAGAAGTCATTTTGACGAGCGGGTTATGTATTTTGTTACGTACTATGGTCCCACTAAAGCGATATTAGTATATTCTTCGGGCTGAAATATGAACTTAGTTAACTAACTATTAGGTGAACTGCTGAATAAAAGTATATTTGACAGACAGAGAGATACTACTTAAACTTAGCCAAATAGTTCTAGCCGGTAGCACGGAGGCGAATGCGGAAAAACTGAGGAGACTCTTCATCAGAGATTCACTCAGACATCTCTGCATTGAACTTGACTTCGAATCCTGCACGGATAAAATGAGTATTTTTTGTGGCCGGTCAACCTGAGCAATGTAGACGTATATTGCTGCTGGCTTTGACAGGGGTTATAATATAAATATTGGAGGGGCGCGATAGATCCTAATGACGTGACAGCTTCTAACTTTGCGAGACGCGTCCCCCAGCTTTTGAAAGCAGATAATTTCCCTCCTTAATCATATGCATCGAGCAGGTTTTCTGAATCAAGTTATGGCGAAATTAGCCCAACTCCTTTAATGTGGTCTTTTTCGGCGAAAAGCCACCAAGATGAATAGCCAACGCACCGACCGGCGTTAGTGGCTAAATTAACCTGAAGTTAATCGAGCACTGCCAAACTCAAGGAAAGCAGCTATCGAACCTTCCCATTCACTTGACTGCAACATTGGTGTTCCCTCCAGTGAAACACTTCGTCTGTCGACCTCACTCCACTGTTATACATCCTTATAAAGAAACCACTTATCAGTTACCAAGCAGTCGTCATTTTGAATGTGATTAGAGTCAGACGAGAAATCAAAACGGTTTCCGTGATTCCTCCTCATCCAAAAAAGTGAAAGCACGCGACCGTGTGTTGTGGAGTAAACGGGCTTTCAAACACGTGATGGAAAGAAACAATCTACTGACGCTTCACCACACTAATGAACACTCAGGCAAACTTAAGAAATTTTCGGACCTTCGTCAAATTACATTGCTCGCCCCCGCGCCGACAGCACGTGTCCGCGAAAGCCATCAGAGACCCGGCGGGGCGCGGAGCAACCTGGACCGACTGGTTCGCGGTTTTCCCGCTTGGCGGCGTCCGTTTCGCTGGAGTCGCGAATACATAATTCAAATAGACAGCGCCTGTGCCCGTTCGGCTGAACACCGACTCCCAAACATCCATGCTGCAGTCGTGATCGGCCTTTAGCCCAGTTGAGATTCGCCGACCGGACAACCGCTCTGCCCCATCATATCTCTGCATCTGTCCTCTCGACCCTGACGAATGAGCTAACTACCCAGAAACAAGTAAGTGTTCCTTTTATACAGAAAATATCCAGGCGAAGTGTAATTGAATATAATTTCGAATGATCCATTGGTGGTTTAAGGTCTCATCTAAGTTTAAGTTATAGTTGCCGAACTGCAACATGCTTTCAAAAATATTCAACAATTATTCGCTTTCGTTCTCTCGAGTTGCATCCAGAACACGTGAAAACACGAGTTTGGGTTGGCAATGCCGCATGTGCTGCGCTCTGGACATTCCAAATATACGGCGAACAACAGACGAACTTCCCTGGCAGCGTTCGTTTCGCTCGCTGCGTCAACAGTGTTTTGACGCCGCGAGCAGCATCGAAGCCGCCGGGCCATTTTTGTCGCTTGTTTGCAACGTACTCGCTCCATTGAAGCAACTGGCGACAATGAAAAGTATGTTTTAAAACTACGTTCTGCATTTTGGCACTGAATATAAAGTTCTAACTACTATGCCAAGCTTAATCTCAAAGAACAGCCGAGATTTAGATTAAAACGTTTTTCGCATTGTCATTAGGTGCATGAGCTTCCTCCGTAGTTGGCAAAGGTTGACTCTCCGTATACATGCTCTGCGGGTGTAACGAGAATATATAAACATTCAAGCAAAAGGAGCCCAAAAGTTGTAGCCCCGCCGGGGATATCTGAGCCATCAAGTTGCACTGTCTGCAATTGTCACAGCCGCTATAGCACCAAACATTCATCCCAGTAGTTAAACTTCTTTTTCTATTTCTAGCGCGCTGCCACGCGAATGGAGTAATCCCGTTTCCTATGAACTACAAAATTCCTTGCGTTATGGTGTTCAGAAAGGATAGTGCCACCACAATTTTCTAGATACTGACCTCTAGCGTGGTCACCCGAAAGGTTTTAATTCAAAGAGTTCATCCCCGACAGGTAAACCGATACAAAAGCTCTCAAGATCTATATTATGTTATCAGAGTTTAGTAAAAACGATAACTCCAGAAAAAATATAAACACTCTCCTCCCTCCCCCCCCCCCCCCCCCCGCCGTTTTACACAGAGGAACCGCCCCCCTAAAATGGAGGTCTGGATCCGCCCCTGCCTTGAGCCATACAATAATACGGGCGCAGCCGGATTTTGATATCTGTTGAACCTTCAGTGCCTTAGTCATCCTACTATTTCAAGTCAACCACCGCCAGGCTCGTGCTGAAACAGACTGTGACTCAGGTTTTCCGGTTGGGTGCACTCTGTACGCTAAGGCAAGGGAGACGGTTATCAGCGGGCATGGGATGCCAGCAAACAAGGAGTCATAAAATTCCCACCTAGAGACCTGCGGCAGAAGATGCTCCAACTCCACTCCTGGCACGCCACCTGGTTTAAGTCACCGACTACGTAACACTTCTCAGTAGAGATAAGAGGACTCATAGAAAAATTGTTTGGAGTGTCGGAAGGAACCTCGGTCAGCACAGTAACAATGCCCCAGCATCGTTTTGACCCTGGAGCCCTCGAGGCTTCAGGGTCAAGAAGAAATACATTTGATCCTGATTATATCGCGATACAAAGAAATATTTCAAATGTATTTCGATACAGAGATACAGAGACAGGTGAAAAAAAATTTATCGCGATACAGAAAGACAGACACGAACTGTACTTGTGAAATACTATCGCGCTACACTTTCATCGCGATACTGCCCAACCCTGGCACAAAGACATGTGTTTGTCGCTTGTTCCCCTTTGCCACCTTGTTCCCCTTCTTGAGGGATTATTTTCGTCATTCTTGTTCAGCTGGCTTGCACCTTTAGATTTCATTGCATTATAAGTCAACAGATTTACTAGCGTCGATGTTTCGGCTATTTGATATTTCATGGTTAAAAATTAAAAACAGCGCAAAGACACGGACAAGAACGTGGAGAGGGGAAAATAGCGCTGACTTACAACTGAAGTTTTTTAATCATGAGTATTCACATAACAGGGAAAAGCTGATGGCATCCGTCTTTGGGCAAAACAGTGGAAAGGGAAGCGCGACGCGTAGAGAGGAAGAGAGTAGTGAAGGAACAAAGGCGAGAGGGAGGCGACGTCATGGGGCGGAAGTCAATGCGTGTGCGAATGCTGGGGCTAGTCTGAACTTGCAGGTGTCTGGAGCGAGTATGCGTTGGTTCGTGCTACAAAATGGAGTGTCAACAAAGTACTAGCGCTGGTCCGAGTAGGGGGCCAAAAAATCAAAGGAATGAATTGGTGGATTTTTACGGAATGCGTCCCCCTTTGGGAAACGCTAACACTGACACCGTCACAAAGCTAAAAAAAAAACGCAGCGAAAATAGAGGAAGCAAAAGAGAAAGATAAAAGAGAAAGCCAATACAGCAAAGTGAAAGGGCCTGTGTTAGCGTTTCCCAAGGGTCATGCTAACGCATTTTCTGAGAATGCATCAATGTTTTTTTGTTTTTTTCTTGAATATGACGTTTCTGAAAACAAGAAAATAATTTTCGTCAAAGGGCCAATTCACCTGGGTCTTTTGAGCATCAGGCGAAGCGTTCGTCACTAAGGTATAGGCCAACCGTATGAGAGCCAGATTGTCTACAATCCCAATGGCACCGTCACCTTGAATTGCGCATTAACCAACGAGCGTATATAATGCGCTTTCATTTTTTATGCAGCTTCACCAACAAAACATGTATGTAAGAATCATAAAACATTGTGCCGTAACTCTTGTCACTGACAGCTTCGCAGGGCGTGACCTATTACTTAACGCTTCCTGCTTCGGGAATTGTCCTTCTGAGTTCTTATTGGCTAATGCCGCAATATGATTGGCTGCTGAGTGATAAGGAGATGCTCGGCTCTCGCCACGTCCTGCTTTTCTCAAGCTATGGAAGGCTACAGCCCCTCCCTAAAAATCATGCCAACATTTGGAGGGCGCTTAAGCTTCGCCTTGAGGAGTGGTACGCGATAGCGTTATCGGGACGCCTTCTCAAAGCCTTCTGAAAAAAACCGCGTTCGTTCCCCAGCCTTGCGAGCGTGTGTGCGTGGCGTAGTCGGCAGCGTCACGCGCCACGTCAAGTCGCATGTAAGCGTTGTGGGTTTGAAACTCCCGCACGAAGTCATGTGGCGTGACGTCACACCTGGCTGTGACGTCATGACCCTATCCACCAATCAGGATTTTCCGATGCCGCCGACGCCGACACCGAATTTTTTGCGACGCGAGCACCTTAACACTATCGCGATAAAATTCTTCTCCAATTGACCATGCAGCACTGAACAACACAACAGCCAGTAATAATATCGATGCTATTAGAGACAATAAACACTCACGCTAGACTGGTCTACACAGTTTTTTCCGTAGCGGAGGTACAGCTGGGACTCAAGCTTTTTGCCCTCGTAGAAAAGTGAGAGGTTGTTCAACCTTGCCCGGTCGGGCTCTGGGAACATTGCTGTAACATCCAAGCAGACCTAAGAAGATACCTTAATGTAAGTTTGATCTTTTCAGGTTTCTGGAAAAAACCTACGAGTACCTTGGTGTGGTCTTTCTCCTCCGGGTGGAATGGTGTTCGGTCGTAGAAGAACTGAACTTTGTGCCTGAAGTTGTCCTTGGTGAAAGAGTACCTCAGTTCTGCGGACATCTTGCGCTCCTTGCTGCCCTTCAGGGCGTAGTCGAGGTTGAGTACATGAGTAGAAGGAACCTGGCCATCTTCTCCGACGTTGTCGTGAACGGGAAAGTGGCTGTTCCTTGCGCTATTGGGCTCGAGGAAATTGTAGCCGAGATCGACCTGTATCTGTTTGGTTTGAACAAGAAAAATGACTGTCAATGACGCTATGTTTCAATGATTCATTTAAAAAAAAACGCAGTCTTTTGTGAAACCACAGTGCAATCACAGATATAGCTGCGTCTCTTTATTGGACCTCAATAGATCCTTATGTATCTTTCCTCTGACGTAACGCGGAGAAACCATTGCTAGCGTCTGCTCGGATAGTAGCGCGCTTACTTAGTCCAACCGCAACATGACACTGTGATGTCCCGTGAATGTCATGATGCCACTTGACATCGTCATGACGTCACTTGAGTCACGTGATACCAAGTCGACAGGGTGTCACGCGACAATCATGCCGTCACCTAGCACCGTGATGATGTGCACCCTGATGTCACGTGAGATCGTGACGTCACATGTCGATCCGTGACGTCACGATGTCATGTGACGATATTGACGGACGCCTTACATCAACGTAATTTCAAGTGGCGGGAAGAGTCAATGACAGCTATCGCTGTAAAAGAAACAGCAATGAGTTTCAGGATATTTCTTTAAATGACGCAATATGGCCACCAAGTGCAGTTATTACACTCGTTGTCGGGTTTGCAGTCAGTATTGATCACAATTTGCAAATCACCTCAGTCGTAGCGTCTCCTTCAGCTGGAACGAGGGTGAACTGCAGTTCACGCGGGTGGCCCTCTGGGTTTTGGGTGGCATAGAAGTACTTCTGACGATAGTCGCTCTCGTGCCAAAAGTTCTGCAGTCCCTTCTTAAGTCCCTTGCTGAGGAGACTGCCTTTTACGTTCAGGCCGTAGCCGAAGATGTCGGCGAAGTAGGTACGGTCAAACTGCACGAGAACAAACGAAAAATTATGCTAGCGCGACTCTGCAGCATAATTAGGGACTTTTAGAAGATCGTACGTAAGAGCTTTGCGTTGCTATAATACGTGTCACCGTAACTTGGCAAACGGCGAAGGGAACGGCACAGCGAGCCAATCAGCGTTTCGGAACGAGACTCGAGACAAAATACCGTTTTATCGTGGGTAGCGCCATCTTCAATGCGCTAGTGCCATCTGGCGAGAGTCTGGTTCCGCAGCCACGTTGAGTGGTTGTACTCCGCGACAACTTTTCTTGGCAATGCAGTGGAAGGTACAGGCCCGCGTCCCCTCTCCCATTTTGAGTGTGCGTGGGCTCTCCTCCTCCCCCCAAAACGTGGAGAGGAGGAGAGCCCGCGCACACTGAAAATGGGAGAGGACGCGGGCCTGTACCTTCCACTGCATTGCCAAGAAAAGTTGTCGCGGAGTATAGAAAGCTTGGCGAGAGTTCTCTTCGAGGCGCCGCTCCCACGTTGTGTTTGCTGTTGGGTGCTCCAAGGTGCTGCGTATCTAATAGCGAGTTCGTTTCACGGCACTCGTGCCTATGCGTGCCCACTCGCGGCGTAAAGCGAGTTCGTTTCGGCAGGCACTCCACGAGTGGTTGCACTCTCCGAGCTCGTTTCAGCGGCGGCACCCACGCGTGCATGCATCCGCTGCACCGAGAAAATCGGGCGTGCGCCAAAATGCATTCCTGTCACGCCTCGCTCCGGCGAGGCCGGCGAGGAGCGGGAGCAGACGGAGGGTTCATCTGCTACGGTGTGTCGCGGAACCGAAAGAAAAAAAAAATATTTCTGATAGAAATCGCGTCCCACGGGCAACGGAATCAAACGCGAGCTTGAATTGTGAGCGTCTGCTATTTCACGAAGGAAGCAATTGACAACCCGTGATTTATTTCCAGGTTTTAAGTCGCTCTGTTGCCGTACAGACGCTGAAATATACCAGTGTCAAGAAATGCTCAGAAGAAACGCATCAGCGGCCCCAAGCTGACAAGTCGACAAATGTAATATTTGTCGACAAAACTCCCCCAGCAGAAACCTCTGACTGCCCAGTAGGCATCAAAGAAAGCTAAACATTGTGACTTTACCCGAGGCTTGGGCAACATCATCATGTTTAACATTTAACTACGTCAGCTAACTTGCCCCGTCGTATTTTGTTCGAGGAAGCTCTCGTTCTCGACGTCCTCACCAAGGCTAATATCTAATCCACCTGTAATGACGATCGAAATCGAAAGTCCCACGAAAAGTTTTGCTGGATATTCCAACAGACTAGTTTTAAGCCGCACCCTTTCAGTAGTTGACGCATAATACCATGCTCAAACGGATCAAGCTTCTGCTCGGACAGCATCATCAGTTTTCTTCAGTGTAAACTGTTATAAGAATCGAAAGATCGCAACCATGCTGCTTTGTAGACAGCTGGGTGCGGAAATTTACGCCGTCTGTAACTATCTTTACGGCGGCCCAGTTACTTGAAGTCATCGCAACTATAAACAACAGGTTGCAGCGTTAAACGTTTGTAGATAAACTTTGGTAGTGGCTGCACTCTAGCATTCCCACCCATCACTCCGAACAGAAAGGCACTAGTTTCGGTTTGAGGTCGGTACTCTTCCTACAACATAGATGGCGGCAGCATCAGTCTTCTGCACTCGGTGCATTTGTCGTTTCTAAATCTCAGTAACTCGAAATTAGAGCGCAGCTCTTGAGGAGGAGGAGTGGAGGATACGGAAGGGAGGGTATGCCCTAGCTTCCTCCTCCTCCGTACACTCCCCTCCTCCTCATAATCTTTCCTCTTCCTCCTCCTTCTCTTCTCCACCCCTTCTCCCCTTTTAGTCCTCCATTCCACCTCCTTCTCATTTACTGCTCCTCCGTACCTTCCCCTTCTTTACCTGTGTCCTCTCCCCTCCTCCTCCATACCCTCCCTTTTTTCACACTTTCCCTGCTAAATTTAGCTGAAAAATTGACGCCACGTGACCTCAACACAATTTCAGGAAAATTACGTCACATGATTTCGTGTCACGTCACCTATGAACAAATTTAATTTCTCCGCTAGATTTAGCAGGAAAACTGACGTCACGTGACCTCAACACCCCCGCTAAATTTAGCGGGGAAACTGATTTGGTGTTGAGGTCTGTGACGTCCCATCATGCAACGCGCCTGGTTACGTCGACGCCGTCATGCACGGAAACAGGCGCCTAAGAGCTGTACTCTAAAAAAAAATTCCGAGGACACCTAAGCCGTTCTCATGAGTTGCGAATGCGAAATCACGAATGGCGTTCTTCCGCTCCCTTAGTTCGTCTGCGGTGTACTGGCGTGGAGAGCCACGTTTCGCTACTGCCGAGGTTGGGGCCGCCGACGATGTTGGTGCCTATGTTCCTCGGCATTGAGGGGAGCAGGGCCGGGTTGCTAGAAACAGGGTCTCAGCTGAGACTGGGCGAAAGAAACACAGCCAAAGCCAACGCACGAGTTGAGCGGGACTCTTGCCGCGTCTCAAGACGCTCGCGCAGCGCAGCCTTTGCAGCACTTTCTTTCACCGTGTTTGAGAGTGGTATTTGTATTGGTTCTTCAGTGGCACCTGTTTTGTGTGACATTTATCTTTCTGCCATGGACAAGCGCATATCGAGGACTCTTGACGGGGTGAATGTGGTCGAGATCTTCCGCTCTGTGGATGATTTTTTTTTGTGGTTATTTTGGGGGAATGTACAGCGAATTGTATGAAAAAGGACGAGGCAGAAATTGCTAATCTGTTTAGGTCACTGTCCGGCGGACTGAACTTCACTTGGGAAATGCCTAAGGATGGCAGTCTTCAGTTTCTAGATTTACAGCTCTTTTTTACTAATTATCATTTATGCTGGAGTTTTAATTCACGAACTAAGAAAGGCCTCCTCTCTTTTAGCAGTGCCCACTCAAAGCTCGTAAAACGGGGGATTGCATCCTCCTGCCTTCACGCAGCCATTACAAAAAAGCTGCCATCATAGACTTCCGGTCAGCTTTGATCAGCAGGTTGCACACTTGACGAGGGCCGGTTACCCGAAGAGCTTAGTGACATGTGTGTGTGAAAGGATCTTACAAAAAATTAAACGAGAGGGTGTTGACAAAAGTCGTGAAAAGACAAATAAGATGCCAGTGCAGGTGATACCATTATTTGAAGAAAGTCTCCCACAATTTAAAAAAAAGATGGCTGTTAGACGCAGGGTTAACGTAATCTTTTCAGCCCCGTGCAAACTTCCAAAGATATGCTCCGGGATCACAAAGCGAAGGTATGTAGTGTGCTAAAAAAAACATGTAACAAGATACACCGAATGCGTGACTAAGGTGGTTTATGAGATTCGTTTTAGTTGTGGGCAAGTTTACATCGGTCAGACCGGCCGATGCTTTAATGAAAAAGCGCGCGAACACAAGCTTGCCGTGCGCGATAATTCGAATGGGCATCTTGCGGAGCACTGCAAACGATGTGGGTGCGAACCTTTGTTTGACCGTACAAGGTTTATCAAGAAAGGGAATGAAAAAAATGGGAGGATAACTAATCGAAGCTTTCTGTATACACAAAGCGGCTGACAGATGTGTAAGCATGCCATATCTTTATCTATTAACCAAAGAAATTGTGTTTCTTGAAGGATGTGTGTAATGAACGATAAGAATTTTTATCAGTTTCATGTGTTTTGGCGATTGGGATCGAGTCTGACGATGATTCGTGTTTCAATAAATCAGTTGGAGCTTGGCGCCTGTCCGTGTCGTACGTGTGTCTTTTTTCGGACTGTTTGTTCGCGCCTTTTAACCTTTTAATCTCAGCTGAGACGATGTTCTATAGCAAGCCGCCCCAGAAGCGGCCGTAAGCACCCCCCCCTCCCCCCCCCCCCCCCCCCCCCAACCTCTTTCCGGCAACGCCTGACACGAGAGCGGCGGCCGAACGCGCGCTCTCGTAAAGCGGCCGGCCGCCAATGCCTATCTAGGAGCCGTTTTGCTCAGCCAATGGGAGAATGGGCATTTCTTTCGCGGTTTTTTGCAGTTACAGACGCCACCGGCTCCGCTTTGTGGAATAGCTAATGCTTTCGCATTAAAAAAAAAAAGAAGAAAACTTTCAGCCTTTCCATTTTGGTGAAGGAAGACCAGCGAGGCTGTACCATGGTTGGAATGAAGTAATGGCCGGCCGCAAGTCGGCAAGCCAGAGTGGAAAGTCTAAACGGCCACCGCCACCTATGAGCTATGGCGGCAACCAGACAACCGCCCAGCCGGTTGTCTGGTTGCGGCCGTCGCTTTGAGGTGGCGGTAGCTGTCCAGAGTTTGGTGTCATCATTTGTTAGCTGACGGACACGATACTAGCGAAACTAGCCCTTTACAGCTCCGTTCTAGAAAAAGAAAAGACGCGGTCGGGTGTAGCCACGTTACCTGCGGCAACATCCTCCTCCTAATTTCTTCTTCCTCACCAGGACAGTTTCGGATTCGGTTTCAAGAAGTTGCGTTTTAGAGCGCAGCTCTTAGGGGCCCGTTTCCAGCCTGAGCGGCGTCGGCGTCGGCGTCGGCGTCGGCGTAACCGGGGGGGGGGGGTCACGTGACCCCCCCCCCCCCCCGAGGTCACGTGACCCCCCTCCCCCGAGATCACGTGACCCCCCCCGGGGTCACGCGACTACCCGCAGGTGACGTGACCCCCCTCAGTACCCTTCCCTACTCCTCCTCAAGAGCTGCGCTCCAATTCGGCGTTACAGGGGTTTGTAAACGGCTTTTATTTTTTTTTACTTAATTTATAAATATACGCGACGCTATAGCCAAATATTGGTTGGGTAGTCTTTGACATCATATTGAATCGCCAGAAAAATAGAAGAAAATATGTTTCGGGGGTTTCAGTGTCCCTCTAATTGGCGAGGACAAGGCTTTACCTCAGTGACTTCGTGGTTGTTGTAGACAGGGTACTGAGACAAATAGGGGGCAGTGGTGGAAGCATCTGTGGCTAGGCCGTATTGCTTGACGAACGTGTACGGGCGGAAGTGGTGGTTCATGACATTCCAGGGCAGGCTCAGCGGGTGCTTCAGGCTCATCCTCTTGTGAACCGTGTCTACGGTGACGTGCAGGTTGATCGGCAGGTTGAAGAGGGTCTGGACGTTGGCGCCCACTGCCAAGAACGTCTTGTTGAAGGCGAGATTCACGCCGACCACGCTGTAGCCCTGGCTCTGATGGCTGGGGTTACGAAAAGAGACAATGATGCAGTGAAGACACTTTTTGTAAGGATATCCTAAACTGTTTTTACAAGTTGTGGGCACAGAACAACTGCATCAGAGTGGAAAAATTACTTCGGTAACTGAAGTGGTTTATAACAGGGTTGGGCTATTTGTTGGTGACTGCTTGAACGAGGTCATTTATTTTAGACAAGGTTCGGGTAGTGCTGTAGGAAGTTGCAGCTCCTATCGGCCGACATGACGCGTGATATTTTCAAAATATATGGCGTGCGTACCATAAACCCTAGCTCTGCAAAACGTAAAACAAAAAAATAAAAGTAATCCGCACCTGCACACAGATAGCTGGAACTTTCACGGAATGGGCATTTAGATGGTGGATTTTACGTTAGAAAATGTCAAGGCGTAGCTCCTTTTCGATGCGAAATGAGACCAACAAACTGGCCAGGGCAAACGGGGGACGTGTTTGCAGACGATCGAGTTAACGATGGATTTAACTCGCGGTGTCGCCTCCCAATAGCCTCAGCGAGCAGATTACAGACCTTACCGAATATCTGTGTTCATGATTTTGAGTTGAGGGTGGTAACAACTCATGGGCTTGCTATCAACCCCCGACTGAATATCTTCCCACCTTAACAACAGATGTGCCATCAAACATATTTCAGGCTCTACGAACGCATTTAATCGATGATTTTTTTTTCCTCAGACCATCAGCGACTGGAACAACCTCGCGTCATTCATAGCCACCACTCTGGACCCGAATAATTTTCTATCTTGTATTAAACTTCCATTTTTTGCCTTACTAGTTGTATGATTTCTGTTATTCTGAGCAGTCCTGAGTGGGTTAGGTGCGTTCGGTTCTTAGTTTCCTTTTGTTTTTTTCATCTATTTGCGTTTCTTTACTGTATAAATCTTGAATACCCCCCCCCCCCCCCTTATGTGTAACACCCTTCACGGGCCCTTATGGTGTAAATAAATTAAATGAAGGTCGTGAAAGGTTTAAAGAGATGGTGAGCCGAAATTTGAATTTCAGAAAACACTGCAGGAGCTGTACGTGGGACGCTACCATACCTACAAAACTAGTCGTAAGGCGATATCTCGAATCGACGGCCGTATTTTTGGAGAAAAAAAAAAGAGGTTGAGATTGAACGAGGCCGACGAGGCGCGTGACGTCAAGATACCTCGTTTTCTCCTCTCTTCGCTTCGCTCCCTCAAGGCCGCGAGGTGGAGAAGACGCGAGGCCGTTCCCTCTCCTTCTCGGAGAAACATGACGTAAACATATCTGTGAAATGCGCCTCCTTTTTTTTTTCTCGAAAATGCGATTATCCGTTCGATATATCGTTGTATGAGTGATGTTTTGATGTTTGTAGCATTCCATTGCACGCGTTTCCCGCGTGCTTTGTGGAATCCAGATTTCGGTTCAGCATCCCTTTAAGCCAGCTCTCGAAATTTCTTCCTCTATCCCCGTCGCTTGCGTGAGGCATTAGTAACGCGTGTACAAGTAGGACAAAACTGCCATCCGAAGGAGCGTGTTAGATTCCTAGCAGCCTCCGTCATCAACCCGAGAGCAAGCCATATCATATTCTAAACTAGATGCTTTCCCAAAGAATATTTACTGTAAAAAAAAACTATAGTTATCGAAAATTGTATTTCGTAAAACCAGATTGGTGACGAAGAAAAGAAGAGCTTTGGGTTATAAATAAGACAGAAGAAGAGAGCGTATCAAACTCATCTAAATCGCCTATTTGTTTCTTCCTTTTGTACCCACGATGCTGTCGCTAAGGACCTTCTTCACGAACATTCCTTCCGTAAAAAAGAGCAACGAACTAACTTTTAGAAGCTATGATATAGAAACCATTCGACGTTGTTCAAATACACAATTCGTTCCGTAAATTCGGTTTCAAGTCTGTACATTTGCTGCAAGGATCATTCCTACAAATCAATCTTTTAAAACGTTTAGCTTAGAAGCACGCTAAAAACAAAAAATCACGATTTTGTGAAAAATGTAAACCAGTCAAATTTATTAGATCTATGTCAAATTTATTTGATTGTAATAGCTGTAAATAGAAAATAGTTATTTTTCTCCTCCAGACGTAGACGTGACTGATTGATTGATGAATTTGTCCTATTACTGATAACAGTGCGTCAGATAAATTACTATCCATTTAAAGTGCAGTTCAATCAAACTTCGACGCCATACTAGAACAAACGGCTTAATTTTTTGTTAATTAAATCAATCTTTTTTTCTTTTTTTTTTATCTTTCGAATTTGGAATTCATTGGAGAATGAAATTGCTTTTCTAGTTTTCGCTCTTTTTTGGTGTTCTTTTTTCTTTTTTTGGAATGGGACGTTACGTAATTTTTGAACGAAGTTCAAAGTAGAAATCAAGTCCAACGCTCCGATGTGCTCCGAAGCGCGCTTCTTTTCGCTCGTGTTCGACATGATTTAAATCTTTCTTCCTTGATGATTATTTTATTTAAGTACAAAGATACGAGCATAAAATTCCGCAAATAATAGACACACACACACAAAAAAGATTTTTTGGATTATTGTGGCGGCAAATATTTGTTCTAAGTACTCATAGCAAAACTGATCTGATATCAATCATAATTTCAATCATTATGGAAATCACGATTGAAATTATATCGATTTTTGCTCTCCACCCTGCTTAGAAGTGAAGCACCATTACTCTAACGCAGTGGGTGATTGAAATAGTAGGGGCAATATCTCACACGTAGTGCCTCTTGAAATCGAGGGAGAACTTGGCGTCATCCGCTTGATTCACGGAAAACGTCTTGCGGTTGATGTAGGTGCATTCGGCTTGTTTGTGCTCGATGTAGATAGGAACACCAAGTTCGGTGGGAATCCCGTAAAGCAGGTCCTTGCTCAGGGAGAAGCTCCTCTTACGCTGCACCTTCCCCAAGAGGTTCCTTAACTTGCGTCCTGGTGTGTCTGTCGGGAGTAAGGCAACGCTTGAGAGTTAGGATTCACAAACAGAAGGTTCGAGCGCTGGTGGAAATTGTCCAGAGAAAATTGAGCTTTTTCCAGTAACGAGCGCCGTCTGAGTTGTCTTGGAACTAGAAATGAAGGGCAACCCAGATTTCCTGCGCCCGTCAGAATACAATTGGTATCGGGGCGTTGTATTGATCTTCGTGGCCTTTCATGCCCCATACTCGCGTATTCTCAAACAAGAATCACCAAAAACGGCAAAATATGCCCAAAGATAGGTGCTGAATATGTTGGTCGACCGGAACCTTGCCCCGTAAAAATGGCGACAGCGGGAAGGAAGGCCAGGTGAGGGGCTGTACGTGTGCGCAGTTCACTGGAAGAAAGGTCCATTGAACGATGTACAGCTAACAATAGCACTTCTGGGGGACAGGCGGGGCAGAAACAAAATTGGGACTTCCTCACACGTGGCCACGGCCCAAAGTCTCAATCCAGTCTCCCAATGTATTCGGTGTTTGGGTGACGCCGACGAAGTTTGACACAGAGGGAAATGGACGACTCCCTCGCCGGGGAGACGAGGAGGGGAGTGCGTGTTTTTAGTTTTCAAGGCGAAAGCCTTACGGCCCGTTCACACATACGCAACCGAGTAAGATTGAGAGAGACCAGACCGGTTTTCAAGCCTCTTGCGACGTCTTAGGACCAACTCCGCAGCAGCGCATCCAGTCCTAAGAAGTCACAAGAGGCTTAAAAACCGGTCTTGTCTCTCTTGGTCTTACTCAGTCGCATATGTGTGAAGGGCGTTTTACGCGAAACAACGGCGGCGTTGTGCCCGAAAGATGGTCACACCAATACGTCATCACGCACGCGCCTCAGAAATTAAACGCAAAGAAAAGCGCAGCAACGCGATGCTTTGTCACGGAAGCCGTTGTGAAGCAGGTGGGGTTCGCCGCGCATGCGCAGTGGGGGAGCGTGACGTCACCACCGGAGCGCCGTGTGCAAAAGGAAGACGTGGGGCGCTGCTTGTGGGAATGCGCTGCGTGCAGGATGAAGCTCTACTACATCAGCAGATCGCCTGCTGTCATTGCAGGGCGGTTCAAGATATTACTTGCCAAGTTTTTACTGCCAGTCGTTTTTGATAATTCCGAGTTTTGTGTGCAAGCGTCTTCATAAGAAGTTAAATGAGCGTCCGGGAGTTTGATGACCTTCTGGGACACCGTTACGCGCCTGCTTCTGGATTTTGCCGAACACAAAATTAATATTGTAAGTGCGCCTTAAAAAAAATTAACAAAATGTTACTCCTATTTTTGTGCACAAAGCCATGAGCGTAGGCTTCTCGCTACGCTCTGTAAAACGCCAACTTCTCGCTACTTCGTTACCGAAGGCATTAAGGGAGAGTGCTTCCGCACCGTATAAAAATCGCACACAAAATACAAGGGACAAAGGGGAGACTAAAAGACGAACAAAACGCTAACTTACAACTTGGATTATGTTTTTTTTTAATTCCTTTTTGTGTTTTTACTGGACGCTTTTTTTCAATGTCAACGATGCCGTGTCCGACCAAGGAAACAATAATTTAGTTTTCTTGCACTTTGCCCCATTTCTTTACGTGCCACATCCGCAAATTTAATTGAATCCTAAAACTTACCGTCTCCCTCAGTAAGTTCTTGGACAATGCTTTCGTCGAACTCCCAGGTGTCGATGGCGTGACCGAAAAGATCAAGGCTCAGTCGGCCGTAGACGTGGTCGTGCTCTCGATCTCTGACGGGAAGCTACATAAAAAAAGGAGGAACGAAAAAAACTAATTATTGAACGTTGTGAAGTACTGCCTCTTTCTCTATGAATTGCTTTTTATTTCAAAATATATCATTACACAACGGCTTCAACTAACCGAAACCCCCTTGCCTGCTCGTAATACCTATTCGAAGCACAATTTCTTCCGACAAACGTAGATGTTAGGAGTTACCTTAGGAATAACCTAGTTTTGTAGCCATCATTTTTATTGTTCACATTTTGTCTTATATGAATATTTATTCTTCGGTACTGAGACCCGCTTGCTCGTGTTATCTTTCCGCAGCTTGTTCTTGTGCGTTCATTTTTTTATCCTATTATATTATCTCGCATTAAAACTTGGGCTTGAGCTAGTTGGTCTATTACTGAATAAAGGGTTATATAAAAGGTTTGTTCGCGCTTTTTAACCTTTTATTCTATATTATCTCCTCTGTAACCTACTCTACTAAAACCCCATCTAGGGAGAAAATTAATGGAAAGGAAATAAATATTTTATACTTCATGGTGAGACTAATATAAAACAGAACCAGTGAACAAAAAAAGAAAGAAAAAAAAGACACACTGTACAGATTTCATTGAAAATTGACATTACCTAGTGTCATTAGTAAGCTCAGTCAGCCATACCGATGGACTACCAATAACAACTTTTAGACGCAGGATGAGCGAAGCATTTGTAGCCTGTTTAATGGCGCTGCCTACAATAGAGCTTATGCGAAATTGCTTTGTGGTCTGACAACACTGAGAGCGTCGCCATTTTAACGTTGGCAAGCGTCGTCGGTATCGAAGCACGGTGGAGGCATCGGAGAGAGCCGTACGGGCAATGTGCGATGGCGCAGCAACTGTTTTTTTCCCTTCCGACCACACTATGTGGACGAACAGTTTAAACAACCTACCGTAACTGTCTGATGAAACTCTCGATCGGAGGTCTGTGCACGCTGGCGAGACCCTCGTCCAAGCAGCGGAGCGAGTCCTACGCCTTCGCTGTGGAAGCTTAACACAGCTTTTTGTCGCCAGCGTGTGCACAGGCCTCGGAAAGGACTGGGCCGTCATGCCTTTCATCTTTGAGAACACTTTTAATTCTTTTTTTTCGATGCGAATATGATTGAAGTCGTACTGTTTACCGGTACGCTGCTCCACGCGAATACATGACTCAATGTTAGTTGTTGTTTTTTGTTTTTTTTAGTTTTTACTGGCGGAAGATTTTTGGTGGAACGCTCTGTGTTCTTCTAATAGAAACTGTGCCCTCGGCAATTTTTTTCAAGCGTTGCAAAGGGGCTAAGATGGGTTTCTGAAAACATTGATCTCAAGAACAGTTGACGGATTTTGCGCTATTATTGAAGATTTGTTGGACCCTGGCAGAATAACTGCAATGGCTTTTTCAAAACTACACCCCAGCTTCTTTGCACTAAACAAAATGTTTACCTCGGCTGCGACCAAAAAAAAAAAAAAAAAGAAAAGGAGGTTGTAAAATGAAGTTGGCACCGCCCGTGTTGCTCTATTCGATGTCCGTAACGCAAGTTTTTGCCGCCGCCGACATGAAAGTTTTAGCCGCTGCAATGAGCCTAACCATACCCCATACCACTGTTAATCATACGCATCTTCAAGTATGGTTGGTGGAGCAGATTTTAAAGCTGCCATCTTTTTGCCTCGCGTGACAGCATGGTCCTGTCCGCAAGCATTGAGCTCCTTGCGCATCAAGAAAAAGGCAGGCCGACGCTACAACGCACATAAAAGAAAAAAAAAGGTCATGAACAAATTTTTTACAACTTCGTGAAAAGATTAGGGCCCAGTCCAATAGTTGTAAATGGCTTCACGCCGCGCGATAACGTCCGCATGTTTCATCCCGTTGTCACCGATTGTTTTTTTTTTTTTTTCAAAAGCTGCTTCTCAAGTAACAAATAAAAATAAGGAAAAAAGGTGAATCATGTTCACGTTTCCGTTCACTTCACGCGCGAATCGAAGGTTTATCACTGTATCCGCAGCGGAACGCAGCAATCATTTGCCTCGCATCTCTTGCACGAAGCGCGGTCGCTTGTTTGCACGGTGCCTTTGCCGGGCGGGTCTTTGGTTTCGTTTTCTGGCCGCTAACAAGATTGCGGACGCAATTGTCGGCGCGCTACTAGATGGCGCTCTACATTTCGCATCTACATTTGTTTTGTGCATTTATGTGTGTTCGTTTTTCGAAATAAATAGCGCGAAGGTCAAAAACAAACTGACGGTACAAGCGCTCGCTATTTATTTCGAAAATGCGTATCCAACTAGCCCACCTTAATATTTTAGTATCTGTGTTCCTTTGGGCCTAAAACCGAGTCCGAGGAGCTCCAGCAGTATCCTAATCACCGTATAGTAGGGCACGACGGTTGTAAGGTATTCACTTCTTATGTCAGCAAACTTTATCGAGACATTGACAGCTTAAGAAACGCAGGGCGCGGCTCATTACATTCATGCATTTTGTGTCCGGATTTGTTCTTCGGCAAATTATTTTCGACGAATGCGGCACTCTCAATGACTGCGGTGCTATCTTGTGATGACCCGCCTCACCCTACGTTTCTCGAACTCTCATTGCCTGCGGCCTCTATCAATATGAATAAAATCGGTCACTCCCAAGTAAGAGGAGTTACCGCCTCACACATACACAACGCCCTTTACAGCGACCGCTTGACTCGTGGTCATTTAGGGCTTTGTAATTGGACCGTTGCTTTAGCGAAAAACTTCACATTCGAAAAGTGCGATTTCAGATACGTGGCCCATTCATACAATACCACTTAAAAGACAAGGCCTGCAATCGTTGGATGGATGGATGAGGCTTAACCCCTTGAATCGGGCGGCAACTTGGGGCACGTACCAGCGTTAAGCGTTAGTGGATCCCACACCCTTCCCCAAGCGACAAAGAAGGTAAATCCCGTTCGCCGTGTAAAAAATAAAAAAAAAGAAGAAACGTGACCTAGGCCTCAGGTGCGCCGATCCACTAGTGATGACGTTTCGAGGGGAGGGGGGGGGGGGGGGAGAGGTAGGCCTTGTATTCTTGGTAGCATTGATTCAAGCCTTCACTATTTACGCAGGCAACATTCGGTACTAAAAGGTATGCTCACAGCATCCTCGACTTCTTTGATCTCCTTCACTGACGCATCCCTGGTGAAGCGACGTCGCCCGAAGACGTTCCACATGTTCGTGGTAGATCCAGGATGAGGCCCAAGTACACGGTTTAGCAGCTTATCCAGACCCCAGTTCTCGAAGGTTAGGGAAACTGTGTTGGACGAGTGGCCTCCAAAGTAGTCCTGAACCCCGAGGTACACTCCTCGGGGCAGGTAACTATCGTCAGCCCGGACTAGTCCGAACGCCGTTGCACTCCCGTAGTCGTACTTGGCTGTGGGAAGACAACGGAAAACACATCTGGCTGACCTGTTTCGTGTGTTTTTCAGTCAGTGCCTTACTTACGGTCGTAACTGGTTGAGAGGGTGAACTGCGATTGGGTGCGGTCCAGGGGCTCGGAGAACCGGTCTACGTTGTTCCACATGGGTACCACGTGAGCAAGGTGCTGAGCCCTGTTTTAAAGGTGCATCCTGGTCAAGTAAGTACGATGCAAGCAAGGTGGTTCTGGCACACATAATCTTTTTCTAGCTAGGTACTCCAGTCGGATTAGGAAATATACTTTTCTCTTTAGAGCCCACGGCGCTATCTAAGCGTTTTTGCCCACGGCGCTATCTAAGCGTTTCTGGAAAACGCCGGAAATATCGCTGACCTCACTGATGCATCGACGTCTTCGCGCAATATTAGTGATATAGCGCTCTACGAGTGACGGGTTACGTGGAAGTCAGCGTTGCATCAGCGTTGCTTCTAGTGTTGATTCAGCGCTGCAGCAGCGCTGTTCCTATTGTTTATTCGGCGTTGTGATTTAGTGTTAACCGGATTCAAGGGTCACACCGTTCCTCTAATATGTTTGGTGTTTGCGTTGTGCTTTTAGCTTAAAGCCCTCAGGCCGTTGAACGATGCTTCAAAATATTTAAGAACAGTCTAATCTGATGTTTCGCGGGCGCCTTTTGTATTTCGCAACGTTGGTTTGACTTCCGAAAGCCTAGAGTCCGTTTGTCTTGTTAAAATAAATTTCGGGCCACACGATAAAAAAAAAAAAAATAATAACTTCGTTTAGATTGCATTTTGTGTTGTTCAGGAGAAAAGAATAGACTTACAGTTCTTGGTGGCACGGGTACTTGGAATTAACGAGGGCACGGAACCTGATGGTCACGTAAGATGCCACTTGGTCGCTGGGGTCGTCGATGATGTTTTGGCCGATGTACTTGAGTAGGTAGAGGTCGGGATTTGTCAATAGGACATTTACGAATGCGGCGATGCGAAGATAGGACGACTCGCTCTTGTTCATGTACACTGGAAGTGCGATGTCACGCACCTGTGCGGAAAATATAGATCGAGTATGTACCAGGTGCGTTAAAAAAAGATTCGGGACTAGTTTCGGAGTGTAAAAAAAAGAGCGTGGTGATGCTCACGCACCTTCCTAAAGGCTGAACTCCATGGGACGAATATGCAGCGACATATCGACGAATTTTACCCGGCGGCTTTTGCTCTGCGCGTGGCATCAGCACAGTGGCTGCTACGTCACGCGCAAATCGAGCGTGCCGTCGGGCGGCGTTCGTCAGTTATTCGTCGCATAATTCGCTCCATGGAGTTCAGCCTTAAGGAAGTGGCCTCTATTGTCATTGCACGGGCGTCGTTCCGGAAACATGCGGAACTGGGGTACGCGAGTTTTTGTGACGACATGCACGAGCACATTGCCGATCTCAAGCATGGGTTGCAAACAATTGTGTAAGCAAAAAATAAATCTCCTTCAAACATAAGAAAAAGTTGAAACAGAGACATCTGAACGATTTGGCAAGCTTAAGGGTGAAAAGTAATTAGTCGTGCGAGGTGTTGTGAGTGGCACTCGCGTTTCAAGAATGGCAGAACACCACTGAAAGACACAAAAATGTCAGGGAGGGTCGCCCTGACCTCTGCATCTTTCCGCGCTTGTCGTACTCAGATATGCTCTAGGCTCTCTGCGATTGTTGAGCCTTTTTTCGATGGGCAGATCAACACAACATGAGATCCTTTGTCTGCCGGGCAAGGTACCCTTGTCTGAAGTCGAGTGACGTCAGCTACTTTTCGCCGACAGATGCAGGAAGTTATGACGTGACAGAAGCTTTTCCATGCCCTCCCCAAAGAAGGTCGCCGACGGGATTCTCAGTCGTTCCATCATTCGTGAGCAAGACCATCATCGCTCCTCACAGAAGTGTAATGTGTATGGAGTCAACTGCATAAGGCTTCGCCAAGTACGAGCAGGCGTCCTTGATCATGAGGGTCAGACAAGAACGTCGGCGGCGACTGAAGGCATCGTTGCACTCGCGATAGAATGACTGGAACCCAGGCGGCAACTTTCTTTGCGGAGGGCATCCTCACGCTTGTTCCACGTCATAGTAACTGTCTTGGTCTGTTCGGTGATTACACGGAGAAGAAGATAGAGTATATGTATCAACGTTTTCCGTTTGTAAAAGAAAGAGATGTTGGTATTGTTTTTTTAGTTTAGTTACTGAGAAAAAGAAGTAAATAAAAACGCCTTCGTATAAGCGCAGACTCGTATTAACGTTACTGAAATCAGGTTTTAAGTGAGTAACTCATTCCTCACTTAAAAAGTACTAAGCGCGTTACTCGTTACTGGGATTCAAAAGGAACGTGTTACCTGAGCTTGAAAGTAACGCGTAATTATCTCGTTAGTCTTAATGTGGCGTGTTTATTAAGCAGCAACCCCTTCCAATATTTTTCTTCGATAATATTTGTCTTGCTTTTTAACGTGCTTATTTAGCGATAGCCGTTTTCTACAGACATACCTCGTGCTCATTTTTATGGTCTTTTCAGCGTTTTCTAGTTGCGCAATGTAGAGGCGCGAGCTGGGGTGAGACCTGGGTTGGGTTAAAGTCCCTCTATCCTAGGAAAAGTGGCGCCGTTCATTGTTGTGGAAATGCTCGAGAGACGTTATGCGCGCCACTTCTGAGAAGCACATGGCGCCTGATATCTAGCTCAGTGCTGCGCTGTGCCGCCATGATCTTCCCAAAGGCTACATGTTGCACATGCCTCGTGCATCGACGCACCTTGAGCTACTTTTGAAACATGAAGGGGCTTTAGGTTGGGTGCTTGTGCTGTACGCGTTTCCATCCAGTGGAAACTAAGTTCAGTTAGACGTTACTTCAAAAAAAATTAAAAAAAAAACGTTACTCCTTCCGTCTCTTAAAAAGTAACTAGGTCGTTATTCGTTAAAAAAATAACTATACGTCTAAGCACCGCGTTTCTTGTCATGGCTGACGCACAAGTGTGTACAAGCGCATAGACGCTCCTAAAGAAATTGGAAAAGGACCATTTCGGGATGATGTGGGACGGATTGCTTGAGTGCCCAGAAGGCGGCAGCTCTCCTAAACTCCGGCTGATTGGCTTCTGGGCTGATGTAGCGTTCGAGGTAGAGCACGGCACTTCTGGTGGCCAAGTTGCCCGCAGTCTTGATGTACACCGTCCTCTTGTACTCTGGCTGGTCCTTCTTGTCCGAAGGAGTAATCGAGTACTGTGGGGGAAAAAAAACCAAGTCATCGGTGTATGCATTGCCTAAGAGACATTTTCCGAGAACATTTCTGAGCATGCGCTGGCCCTCCCCGCGTGGCGGCAAAAGCTCGAACTACAATTAGCTGCCGGAGTTGCGATACCTGTTTTGCCTCCTCCGGGACGGGCTGACAGGGATGATACCCTATCTTGGCCTGATCTTATCGCTGTTGCAAGACGGTCTCTTAAAACCGTAGAGGGCCTTTTCGAATCAGAAGGAACAACCGTGTCCGGTGACAATTTTTAATTTTGATGAAAAAAATATTTGGTGGCTTCATGCCCCCCAAAAAATAAAACCAATCCTTGTATAAAAAAAAAAGTTGTCTTTGCAAACAAAAAAGAAAGAATTGTAAGCACTCGCTCAGTCACGTGCGCGTGTTGCGTATCGCGCGATGTTGGCATTTCGGGCGGCTTCCCCAAAAAGCTGCTCTGAATACGGGTCTAGAAATATTTACTGTCAAATTAGCCATTGGAAGGAATGAGAAAAATTATTAATCACCGAGTATTAGGGTTGTTATTTCGAGAAACAAAATCGCAAACACGGCACATCGCGCAATAACGCTCTGGACTAAAGAATGTTTTCCTTCGTGTCTATAAAAGCTAAGGTCTTCAAGCTTTGCCAGTGGGTTGCCCTGTATATAGTTCATGTTTGCATGAAATATTGTTGTCCTGGTTTACAGGAGAAATCTACAAGAAGTGCTCACATTGGGGCATTTAACTAAATATGCGTTATTTTGAAAATCATTTAAAAATAAAGGCCACCTTTAATGTTCTTTAAACACTCACAAACTAACCTTTATAATATGTACTAACAGAGTCTGCAAAAACATATTGCAATATGTGTATGGTTTTGAAGTTATAGAACGAGAAATATGGCGAAATTGACGCTAACGCCGTGGCCATAAATGGGGCGCACACATACCCTGTTCTTCACAATGTTATTATCATTAAAAAGCGTAAAAAGGCTACGGTGTGGTCAGGAAAAGACAAATTGAAAGCACAGAGGGGGAAAGTAGTTTTGAAGGAAACATTCGTAATGCATTTTGGTACAACCGACCCAAAATGCCCATGGGATGGAGCGATCGAAAGGCGCCACCAATAGAGTTATCACAATAAACGCTAGAGGCTCAGGTGGCGCTAGTGTGCTGTTGCATTTTGAAGCAGACAGCAAACAATCTTAATTTGACTTCCGGTAATGCATTCCTATAGGAAAATGCAAATGCGTTTTCTCTTCGCGCTTTATTATAAGAGCAAATTTTGCTTAGTGTTGTGACAGTATAAAAAGTTTAAAACGTTTTACAATCAGATGTACAAAAGTGTGTATGAGAGCGTTTTACTTTAAAATTAATGGCGTGGAACACTGCGCTAAAATAGCCCAATTCACATGTATAATGCGTGTCGACGCTGCAGACTGCACTCTAAGAAAAAACGGAGGAAACAGGTAGCAACGGCGCGTCTTCCTCCCCTCTAATGACGCGCCCCCATGCGGACATGAGAAACAGGGAGGAACGAAACGTTTTTCTCCTTCTCCAGGCAGACGGGAGAAAACTTTCGCCGACTCATCTCCTTTCAGTTTCATTTTTCGAGCACGTCGCGCACGTTGTTTAATAAATGTTGTTTAGTTGATTGACTTCAGCGGCAGCAAAGGCCGCCTGTGATTCCGTCTTCCAGTTCAAACGTGCAGAACACTTCGGTTGCATTGACGTTTTTACCACTAATTTTATCAAACGAAGCCGCTGAAAACATTGAAGTTCCGGAGCAGTGCCAGCAGCGCTACGTACACTGGGTAAGATGGCCGTCTTCAGATTGCGTTTCCCACGCGGAACTGGAGTAGCTGAACCACGCGGAACTGTGTCGACGTTTTCGACGTTATGGAAATCGCAGGAACTGCGTCCAGGGCACGCAGGTTTTGCTGCCGGCTGCCTGGTTGCCTTCCGTGCTGAGTTCGGTTCTGTTTTCCGATGCCCAGTGCCAACCGCGGCAATCAACGTGGTTCTGTATTTCTGCGTGTCAGCAACATAGCAGCAACATCGTGATGGCAGTGTTGTGCGTTGTGAACAGAAGACTGCAATTATCGCCGATGTGACCGTGTGTTCGCGTGTCAGTGGTGTAACAACACGATGAGATGACGTAAACTGTTGGGCATTGATGCCGCTAGTCGGACCGTGATCGCAGGGGGCGGGGGTGTCGGAGATTCACATTCCGCTTTACATTAAAACGTTTAAGACTACTTAAGGGATTAGGTGCAATCGATCGACGTGCGGATAGTCATGTTGGAACGCTGGTCTGAACAGTAAGCTCCTATTGTACAGTGGCCAATGTGACTGATCGGTTGTCTCTTCCCCGAGAGCAATTGCGCTCTGGGGAAAGGACTGAACAGTATGAAGTTATGACGGAAAGTACGTATATTTACAGTGTGGAATTTCGGCATTAAAAAGAATAATAGGTAAAATAAAAAAAAGAACATATCATTTAATTTGTTGTTTAAATATATTACGGTTCCCGGAGAAAGTGCCCTCCGAGTGGCGCGCTGGGGTGAGGGCTAGAAGTTTTCGAGCTCGCCACGGCGTAGCTCCGTACACTTAACACCTGCCGCAAATCGATGCTTTGACTGCATTCATGTTGATCGAAAAGCGATTTCTCCGCCCGTGAAGCATCATATACAATCTTGTGCGCAACAAAGACGAGGACAAAAGCAGAGAAGAGGACACAACAAGGCGCCTTGTTGTGTCCTCTTCTCTGCTTTTGTCCTCGTCTTTGTTGCGCACAAGATCGTATAAGATGTCAAACCAACTCGCGAAAACAACCACTCTTCTTGAAGCATCACTTCCAGCTGAGTGAATATCTGCTCTACAGAGAATAATTCAAGACGGCAAATGCAGCCATGCGCGAACAACACAAATAGACAACCAAACTCTACAATAGAAATGCTGTCTACGACGTGCTATTCGGGGAAAGAAACGCATGGCTTCGAACCGCATTGGAGCGGCTTGATTTATGGCCTTTGAAATGATTACGGCATGATGGAGCGTTTACTTTTTAATAAGAGATTCATCCCCTGAGCCATTGAAAAAACTCTCAAGGTATGACATTGCTGGAACGAAATCAACATGTTAGGAATATGTTTTATTGCTTAGGCAGTCACATAGAAATTCCGTACGTTCAAAACCACCAGTATAAAAGACGGAAACGCAGAGCTGGGGTGTAGTGTTCGGGATAGTGTGTCTTTGTATTGATGTTTGTATGCGCCATGTATGTGTCTGCGCTCAATGTGTGTTCACCTGACGCTTATAGTATGCGTATTGTGTCTACATGTGTGTGTAATGGAGATTCCCGAAGATCAAGAAGCGCAATGGTGGCGTGAGGAAATACAAATATTTCTCGTAGAACATGAATTGGGCGCTACCTAGCGCCACCTAGCCTAGCTACTTGCAATTACTTTGCTTGACCCTGCCCTCTAGTGGCAAGCGATTTAACCTTATTTCACGCTACGCAAAAAACAGATAGCCGGTCCGCGCCAGATGAACCGGCTATCAACCATGAAAAACTTTTTTCACAAGATAACACTCAAGAAATTCCAAGAGTTAAAATTACCTCACGGCCGCCGAAGCGAAGCCGACCCGCCGAGTCTGAGGACAGCCTCGATGACATGGATGAAGATGCGGAAAACCGAGTAAGCGAAAATATTGACGACTCGACTCACAATGAAGATCCCTGGAACAAAGTAGAACGAGGAAGGAATCGCAAACCACCCAGAGGGACGCACCTCCAACGATTCGGCCTAGAGAAATTCATCATATCAATCAAACCGAAAGGATCAAAGGACATCACGCAGATTCGTCCGAAAATAATCTACCAACAATTGTTGAGAGCCGCAGGAAGCGGGGTACTCGTAGATAGGCTGATTTTCACGACGAACGCAAAAACCAATTCAATTACAGTAACGGTATACGAACGAAAGCACTTGGAGAACATCCTCAGAATCAGGGAAATCGAGACAACAGATGGCACGGTGGAGGTAAACACGTACCAAGCAACGACTGGCTCGCTTCCACTTGGCGTTGTACATGGCATCGACCCCTTAGAAAGCGTCGAGGAATTTCTCGAGAACTCAGACACAGATTACCACGAGATACTCCAGGCGAGACCGCTCGGAAAAAAAGGAACATATTTGTTGACGTTCAAGGGCGACGGAATTCCCAAAAAAAATAAGATATTATGGAAAACTCATTAGCGTCTACGCCTACCGGCCTACTGCAATCGTGTGCTTCAACTGTCACAGCCTAGGCCACAAGGCCGGCATATGCACAAATGAGTCCCGCTGCAAGGACTGTGGGGATTTATGTCAGGAAGGTCACAAGTGCCAGAAACTATTTTGCTACAACTGCAAAGGCAACGACCATGTCGCACTACACCAGCTGTGCCCAGCAAAGACACAGGCCGACCTCAAACTCCAACAAAGGGCCAAGGCACCCCTTCTCAACCACCAACAAAGAGGACGTTTGAGAAGCAAATTTGAAGGAATCAACAGCTTTGAACTGCTTCGGGCGCGATCACAAAGCAACAATTATCCTAAGCTGTCACGAGACAAGAGCACTTCACCAGCATCCAAGCCCAAAACACCACAGAAGACCACGACGAACGCACAGCCTACCTTCGCACAAATAATGAAGGATCATAGGGAATCGACGCTACAGCTAATCAACAAGAGAAAGGAATACGAGAAACTCAGGAAGAAACTCAAAGAAAAAGAGAACAATCTATCCAGAGCAGCGATGGAAAGACGCAAAGAAATTGCTATGGTGCAGGAGGAGATCGACAGGATCGACAGATGCTTGTCTTCCACGTCATTTTCACCACCACCATCAACACAATCGCAATACAAAATTCAGCAGCAGCAACTGAGGTCGACGTCCAGCACATCAACAAAAACGAAGTACAACGAATCAAGCACAGACGATTACA